TTCTCCTGCTGACATAGCCATATCAGATCCGTGCAAGCAGCATGCCATTACTGAGGCGCTCCCACACGGGCGCCTTGGTCTGGTTTAAAAGCAAACTGCTAACTCGTGGCACCCGGCCTTGTTTACAGTCTAAATTAACTGACACGTCCCGGGCACAAAACAAAATTTCGGTGTGATAGTGGTTCTTACAGACACTCGCTACTCAGAACGATAAGAATAACACCAAGAACAAGAACAATGTTCAAGCCAGTCTGCTAATATCGACTAACAATGTTCCAAGTTCACGGTTTTTTCAGCATGTTGGAGATATTATCTTTCAGTCCGATTAACTCGACGTGCACCTTCATATGCGCGAAAGTATCTTGAACATAAACTTGCATTTGCATTTTTTACACAGAACGTATTTAGTTTTCATACCCATTATACCCTAGTGAAGATTAAAGAGCCCTTTGGTTAACGGATTCGTGGTAAGCCGTTCAGCGTTGTCAGATTAAATGTTTGAACCCTCAGATGTCAGAAAAATCTTATAAAATGGCGTAAAAAGCATTCTTTTCACACGATGGTTTTATTGTTTTATAATCCAAGAAGACGGTGCGAAGAACAGAGTTTCTTTCACGGCAAGAGGAGCTTGCAGTCGTTTGCCAGCCAACGAAATGCATCAGGGTTTGATGCCCTAACAGCTGGCTTTGGAATTTCCCGTAGAGTTTCGTTATGAAGTAGGCAGTAATTTGGAAAGTAGTCCCTCCATGAAATGGCTAGTCGACAACAAAGGCTGACAATCGGGAACATGAGGAGAGCTCCCAGAAGCAGAGCCCGTTTTGCAACAAGACGCCGTGAGCAACCTCGAACACCTTCAGTCGACGACAAGTCTTCGCTAAACGAGCTTTTCTGAATATCTTTTATCAAATACATAAAAGCAGAGTAAGTTATATAGGAATGGGAGCAGGCAACATGGTATGAATAAAATATAATAAATACAAACGATTTACAACTGACGCTTTATCTATTTGCTTTCGAGAAAGCAGTTTAATAGGAAACAGAAAGGGCTTATAGTCAACGATGGGTCTCAGTTTTACGTTTGGTGGGCCAAAATTTGGCACCAACGGTAATATACATTGATAACCCTCACCAGTATAAACGATTTAGTACATATACAGGTGCTGAATCTGTGGGATGAATAATTGGAGACAAAATAAGCGCAATTTATTAATATATACAGTAGATTGCTGACCTCGGGAGATATGAAGATCGAAATTTGAGGTGTAGCATAACACACATTCATTTTTGTTTATTTTGTTTAGTGAATTCCGTTGAGGCGCAACGTACTGTTTACTCAAATGAATTGATTTCAGATCAGTTTGTTGAAGAAAATCCATGACTCAAACAAACCAGGTATACAACCTCAATATGTAGGTTAATGCTTTTAAGAAATATTTTATTTTGAAATTTTCGGTAGACACATAGAACATAATCCTTATTTATGAACAATCGGCCGAAAACACTGAAAATCCTAAAATGTTCACCATTCCAGGAACGATCTACGCCTCGGCGTAATCCAACACCAGAAATAATTACAAAGAAATGTGACGGAAGGAGGTTCTAAGACTTTAGAGGTTCTAAGTCCCGTCGAGTTATTTCGAAAATCTGCTTTTAAATTTTCAATAACCCGACTTTCCCTTTTCTTCGTTAAATTTCACCAGTAAGAGGGCAAATTTCCATTATCGTTAAATTATGCCAACATAAGATCGAATATCCCTCAATTGGCATCCGTAACGTGCACAATCGGAGTTCATGTTGACGGAATTTATTCTATTTTAATATATTAAAATACGCATGATCTTATTTAATATTTTTTGACCACCTCCGCCACAATTAGGTATTTATTTACACTCACTAACCATAAATTAAATGTCTGACCAAAAAATACGTTAGGTAGGGGGGGGCGGGGGGTAGATATTTAGATGGCCATACAAGTCAGTTTTGCCGAAAGTTCTGTTAGTATGCATAAAATGATAAATTTTGAGATTGCACCTGACAATTCTATTTACATTTATTAGACGATGACCGCGATATCCAAATGTGGGCCTACAAAATGTCTTACTCCCTTGACTGCCCAATAGGCGCAGTCAAGCGAAAATCTGGTTGTATAGAAGAATTCAAAAAGGAAAGGAACAATGGCGAATTCTTATGACATCATCTTGGACTAAATACTCGAAAAATATCTACTTTACTGTTGTAAGACTTCGGGGGACGCTGCTTGGGCTGCTTTTACGTAATAGAGATTTTCTTGTAAACATCCTTGAGGATAGACAGTTGACTGTAGGTACAGGTTCGAAAATTCAAATTTCTGCAGTTTCGCTTAATGGCGCAGTCTCAGGTTGGAGAAAGACCGTGTATGTGAAATAAGGCAGTAACAAAAAAAAATTACGTTTAGTTCTTGATCAACAGCTGCGTTCAAAATAAGGAAGACGTCCAGTGTTGCTTATTTCTCGCAAAATTTCACTTATTTAGAAAAAATGGGGTCTATATATTCAAAAGTTTATCCAAATTGATATTGTTTTTGGAATTGTCCGTATTCACAGGTGCAGGGAAATATACGACGATTTAACCGCCGGGTTTGCTGATGTCCACCGTGTACTCCACATCAGCGTGATGCAAGGACGGTCACGTGCGCCGGATTAGAGTGCGTTGCATCTACCTCATGGATTATTTCAGCAGCTGGCATGCCTGCATATACTAATTCAGTTTGCGTGTTGGCCACTTCCAGAGACCATACAATGATTTTATATTCTGTTTACGTTTGAAGAGACAACAGATACGCCTAAAATGAGGGGCACTCGATTTGCTGATTGACTGACCGAGCAATCAAAAGATACGCTTCCCGTGTAAACAGCTTGGGCTTCGGAATGTTTGTTACCAGAAGGATGGTTCCTTAAAAAGTCAATGTTTGGTTGTTATGCCCTGTGTAATTTATGATTAGTATTTTTTATTCAGTGTAGCTGTCAACAAACAGTGTCGGGATATATTTTCCGTCACAGTCAGTGAAACAGAACCTGCAGACAAGTGATCGACCCCTGGTCAAATGGCATTGTCATCATAATTAAAAGGTCCATCGTCTTTTGCGGCCTTTGATCAACGGATTTCAAGCATTTTGAAACACTCTAGGTTTCTACGCAGATGCCTGTACTAAGAGCAGGGTAAATAATCTGACCTAAACTTTTTGTAATCAGGCACATGTCAGTCTAACTTGACCAAAATTGACGTAATAACTGCCCCAAACAATCGAACCACTTCCGCATTTGACGCTTAAGTCGGATAGATTATGCATTTTAGTCCCTGCAAGTAAATGGGTGAAAATAGATAGTCGTTCCACATATTGAATACGCCTGACGGCGGATATAGTTGACGTTATTAATATATGGAACAACTATCCTTTTCACTCATTTATTTGCAGGGACTAAAACACAGAATGTAACTGACATAAGCGTCAAATGTGGAAATGGTTTGATTGTTTGGGGCAGTTTTTACGCCGACTTTGGTGAAGTTGGCAAACTGGAGACACCGACATGGCGGTCAACTCAGGATATGAGTCAACACCGTCAGGTCGGACGTCGAACGCATGGGCCTCGTAACCGTTTACGGCTTGCGATACTTGAACAAGCACTGAGTTTACAGCTGCGGGGGGCTTGCTCCTGATCGTCACCAATGGGCCGCCCCTATACGTGACATCCGTGAAGCCGATTCATCCAACAGCAGGAGCTGATTAGATCAAGTACAAGTACAAACATATAGTTGTGAATTTCACAGATTATCTGAATATGAGATTTACACATGACCTGAGGCTGTATTTATTTTAAATCTAAGAAATCTTATAATTGAAAGCTATAAAACTTACACTTAACTTGAAAGACCTTGTAAATTGTTCCAATCCTATCGTGCCTTCAGTATTAATGGCTAGGTTTGTAGAAATATTTTGGGTAAAACAGTCATTATGCTTTACATGTGCTCACCCGAATTAGTGTCCTGATCTACTGCATCGCCACGGATTTGATGATCACCCTCATCTGCCGCCTGCTCCTCCGAAATTGAAAAGTCCTGACAGCTGCCAACCATTTTTATTTCTGTGCGTTTTGCAGCCTATAACACCATAAATGTACACATTTCCAAATCCATATTCTGAATGTCATTTAATTAAGCAGGACTGCTTTTATTACGCGTTTTCGGACCGTAAAATCTAACAAGCTTGGTTGGGTTTATGTTGATATTTGCAAAGCAGCTCCTTTGATGTCCATGCATTCAAATTTCTTATGTCAAAATCTCGAGTTTTTGAAAATTGCGATTTGCATTGAATAGCATAACATGGTCCATCATGTGTTGACGATCTCATATGCCGAAGTCCTGTGATATATGTACTCAGATACCTACTTTACGTAATAAAGTAGGCGTACTTATTCTTATCACTGCAGTCAAGAATTCAGAAATCTCTTACTTCCTGTGGTCAATTTTAGTTTTATTAGTTTTACTTTAAATTGATCTTATTGTTTTGTTCGTTAGTTAAATTTTAGTCATGGTAACAGTTTTAGTGTAATTTTTAAGCAACATACAGCTATTTGTCCGCTTAGCTGTATAAATTCACGAGCAGCTATTGTGAGTTTTAAAAATGTGGGAGAAGTCTAAACTTTGTGGTTTTATTGCCATTTCTAATTTCGATATAATGTCGATATTAATTTGCAGGTACGTTCAACACAAGTCTTGTTTCCTGTTGGTTATAGTTACCATTATAATTATCACGCGAAAAGTTTTGGTTATTTAAACCATAACTTCCTATTATTTTCTGCTTTTTATGCTCAACTTTTAAGTTTATCTTTTCTTTCCTGTGATATGACCCAACCATAAAACCCTAATTACTACCGCTCTCGTAGGACAGAATGATGGTGCTGGCGACATCAACGTACCTCGGCATATGATACTGATGTCCCATCATGTACCAAGGCTTGAACTGAAAGCTTAAAATATGTCGAATTGATAGGAAATTAGTACTTGCGCAGACACATATCATCAGGACGGGGAAATAGAATCGCATACCACAGGGGCGAATTCAAAAGACGGACACGGACACGGACACGCACTTTTTCTAAAAAATATATTGGATTGGGGCTTCAATTGTACAGACGATATACGAATTTACAACGCTGTTTACCTACTGGACGGTCACCGTTAGTAAAGAGTCAGTTCTAATTATAAATGTACTACTCCTAAATGTTTATTTAAACTTGCCTTTTCACATTGCTTTTCCCAGTTTATGTGTGCACATATGATTGTGTAGATGATGACTTCAAGACCGCTGGCAATTGATAAGCCCCACCAGAATCCTTAAAAGGAGCAATATAACTGCTCAGTAAAATGGTCACTGAATCATTTTGCTGGTAAAAAAGTGAAAAAAGGCAAATCAGACGGAATTCTGATGCCATTTGATTTCTAATTTGCCGCTTCTTGCTAGCATTATTCTTCAAATTTACTGACGATTTTATACAACTAAAGGCCGATGTATTTGACGTTTAGTTGGGGTAAGCATAACCGCCCACGAGGCTTTATATGTTATATAATTTTAAATAATCTATAAATCTATCTGTTCCATCTTTTTATAAACTCTTGCTCTCTGGTGATTATAATTTTCTCGCAAGTGCCAATGGGACGGTTTTTGTCGCCGTATGACCCGAAAAATACTGCTTTTGTTTGTGACAGTTAGCGGCGCGCACCAGCGGCAAATTTGTCAGGAAACCTATTATAGACAGCTGTTCTTTTTGATCAGAATCGCTGATATTTTTTCAGTTAGGGTAGGCCACACAGAAGCTGCACAACTTAAAAGAATAATGATTAAAGCATGAGGGTGGTAGAAGGTAGTTTATTCACTTAAACCTCGGGATTGAGTAGCTGCTTATGATTTTAACTTGTAAGGTCGGGCCAGAATGCGTAAAGAACGATCTCGCGATGTTTCTTCGAGTTTCTAAGATGACAATGTATGATAGTTTCATTCTGAGGTGCCAAATAAGTACGCTTTCATAAATCAAAGAAGTAAGACGAGTTTGTTCCTACCCGGCGTCCGAAAGCGTATAGTAAACTACATAGAGTAATAGGATTTACCAGGTCATTTACTGAAAGGCCCGCCTACGTACGAATATAATTACTTCTATGGAATCGCTTTATTAATGGACATTCCCGTGCAATTTGTGCGCTGCTACATATAAAACTCTAACGATAACTTCACCAAATAGATCAATGCCTGCTTGAAGTAAGTTCCACGTTTACTAAGGTTGCATTTCCTTCTAAAGAAGCTTGTAAGCCCTCTCGACGAAGACAAGTAAGGTTCTGTTGGAGTAGACCTAACTAACACGTTCTTCTCCAAAAATTAATTCATGAGTAAGGACAACTTTCGCAGAGCAGACTACCTCCCAAGACAACGATCCTGGGGAGAAAGTGTGCTCTTAACGCAAAAAGGAACCAAAGTTACTTACCACTGACAGCCAGTGGAGTGGCCAGAAGAAGGCTCAGGCCTACAGGTCCACCAACGCAATACATGCAGACAGCGCATACGATTGCCCCAGCCTTTTGCAACCCAACGCCGCGAATGACGCCGCAGACACCACCCTTGCGTTTCATATCAGAAGATGGAAATAGTAGATTAGAAGAGGTTTGGTGGCATATTTCAATAATTCATTTGACCCACTTGTGAAAAACTTAGCGGCCTCTGTAGGATTCGAACCTATGCAAACAAAGGGGAAGGTTATAAGATAGCCAACGCCCTAGTCAACTGAGATGTAAGGCCACCATTGGGAGCCGCGAGTTTGATCACATCTGGGTTAATTTACCCGTTCGGCTACCTCATTCTACCCCGTTACCCTACTGCAACGTCATCAATTCTGACACAGTAAACTGACTGCCTAAACAGGATTCCCAAAACAACCAATCTAGTATTCGCTAGATGAGGACTAGTCGCACTTATTTTTTGAGGGGTTTGGTAGCTTTAAAAACTTTATTTGATCCACTCGTGAAAAAATAAGCAGCCTCAGTGAAAGCATATTCATCGCTCCAGGTGGAAGATATCGTAGCTCAACGGGCTAGAACGCTGAATGTACTAAAGCGTTGCTCTTGCTGGCCTGGGTGTGGACGCTAGCAAAACTGCCAATTTTTTTAGATGTAGGTCAAATGCAATATTAGATTCCCATTTACTCAAGAGAATAGCTAACTATGTGACTGAACATTTAGGCTGTAATTGCATATGAACTTGAATACATATCGACCCCTGTTATGTCAAACATATCACAATAGCACCCGTTCGAAGATATTACTTCTTTCGAAGTAGTGGACATATATGCACGACTGCTACTTGTATTGTCTTAGTTAGAACTCGTACGAGGAAATAATCTAGAGAGCTGTTAGAGCACTCTATAGTGAAGAGAAAAGTTTGAGTCGTAAGTTAACCTTTATCCCTAAGATTTTACAAAAAACCCTAAACCAAATGATTGCATTCTATTAAAGCGAAGGTCACAGAGTGTTCATTACTTTCCTTATTATCCTTATTCCTGTGCATAAATAACCGAATTATAAAACGGCAAGAAGAACTCCCAGTTATACAGGTGGCTTCACGCCACAATGAAGAGAAGGCACATATACTAATGTTTTCATCGTGACTCTAACGTTTACCATAATTTGACATTTTGTCCTGACCTTAGGCTTACACTTGACTACACATCCTCTAACTAGAAATCTGACGCCATACTTAAGGCTAACTCTATCCTCTTGAAATGTAACTCCAGACCACCTTTTTTTACTGAGAACAGGGTCCCTTATTCCCGTGTCTTGCTGATAAGAGTTTAAACATGTTCATGTTTTTGAGCGGGAAAACGGTACTTAAATTGCCGCTGTTTCACAAGAGAAGGAAACGTTTTCCACAAAATAGGAAGCTTTTAAACCTAGAAATACAAAGAACGTGAAATAGATAGCAGACAGTAGGATTTTTTTACGCTTTTCTTTCTGACTGTGATGGTAGAGATATCAGCTAAGTGGGCCTATATTCTTAACTGTGCTGAACAAAACATGCTTGTGCTGGCCGCGTAATCAAACTAAAAGCCCATGCTATCAGTTATTACTTTGGAGCATGAAAACTGACTCGCCTATGTCAGCCAATCAGTCTTTTAAATAAGTTTTTCAAAAAAGAGGCATTCTATTGAGTGCCTTGTTTCATGTAAAGTTATTATTACTATCAATCTGGCGTTAAAATTATTGCGGTTGATTTTGCAACTGGAAAATGTCTGTTAAATTCGTTCAGTCAAGATCTGTTTTAATTTAATACGATACGGCGATTAGAATTTTTCATCATGAAGTCCCGAAGTTATGAACATAAGAAAATTCGCATTATTTTCTTAATACTTCATGTATTAGGCTCTGAACCCTGAATATGTGACCCTTATAAAGGGCGACGCATACTTTAGAAATTCATTCGCAATCTAATGCAAAATATATTCTGAGTTCAAAAATATATTCCTTGGAACATTCGACTCACCACCATCCCTCCGAAAAAGTGAAAGGTAATTAATGCGGGGAATATTGCTGTGGTTGCTGAAACGACTGCGCTGGAAAACAAACAGGAAATTCGTAGCTAGATGGGCATTTAAATGGAGACAGCTTAGGCCATGATAAATTAAAAGAAGGAAACATTTTTGCTTTGAATATACTAAACCACCCATGTTTTTGCCATGGTTCGCCTCTCACAAAGACCATTGTCTAACGCGTGCCCGAGTTAACGTACCCTTTGCGTGATTAAGATGTATACCGTGGAACTAAGCACCAAAGAATAAAGGTTAGGTACTTCGAGAATCAAATTACGTCTTCTTGACATCAATGCACATGTAATTATCAAATAGCATATCACAGCATGATAGGACTTTCATCAGAAAATAAGCATTATTTCGGCCCATTTTGCTTAAAGGTGGGAATTATCTATTCATAGCTCACCCCATAAGGCGTGCGCAGCATCCCCTAACGATTCCGTCGCTTGAATAATTAATTTGGACTGTGCACGTACTAAGCTTCTGTTAGGGTGCAGTCTACAGCAAACCCAGTTGGATTACTTCAAGGTGCAGTTGTGGCCAATTTGTTTATGCATTTTCCGACTTCCCACAGGTACACCATTTTGTACAGTTAGAACTATGAAAGTACACAGACAGCGTGCATATTTGAGCGATAGTTTAACAGCCGTGCGCCATTCAATTGCCTTCGAGTTCGGCTGTCAGCTTGTTCAGTCGCTGCAATCACATCAGGGCCTAATTCAAGCCGCGTTTTAAACTTTTTGGTTATACTATTGCCGGACTGATTGCTAATTCCGGTCTGTTGACTTCCATCGTTTCTAATAGTGCCAGAAATAAAACTAATCTTGGCCAGACTATACTATTCCTAAAAGTACAAGGAATTAACTTTCGCGGGCAACTCTTGTTCCGAATAAATTATTGAGTAAATTAGGTTGCATATATATGTCCATTAGGCGTAACATTTAAGTGATCTCAAGTCCTTAAATTATACAAATCTTTTTCTATGGATAAATCGCACTTACGGGTCATTAGAGAATATTCTGGGGATATAGTCACGGAGGAGTGCCAGGACAATCCCATCGACTGAGCATGCCACAACTGAAATACAATTCGTCATTGTTATATTCACACAGCTAAATATAGAAACCAATCGTCGACCGATATTTTCTTATAATATGCAGTAAGCCTGAAATGCCGCACATACTACTTTTAAATTGTTTTGGAAATCTGCGATAGTTGATTACCGAAGAAAAAATAACTAAGTACTTTACAAAGTATTTTTCCATTAGTGCTTCTTTCAAGGAGTGATTGATTTTAGAACCTCGACTCTGTAGGAAATATAAATGTTCGTTTAGTGCTATCACGCTATACTTTTTCCTCAGAGAAGCCGCAATTCAATATCCTAGCCATCATTCTGCGTGAATTTTCTAGTGGGAAGGCCGAACTCAATAATATCTGTCACATTTATCAACTTCTTTTCGATATATTCTTCCTACCTTAGTCGAAAAGGTTCAAATTATTCAGCCTATAATTTGTTTATTACTCTACAGGCTAATGAAGTTTTGGTCAGCACCCTAATGTCTGATCACGCTCACCTCCTAAAGTTCATTTAGTTTTCCCATCTACCTATTAAATGAACGCCCCTCTCAAATGTAGCGTAGCCAATTAAAACCTACAGGATAACGAGCTCGTGTTTCCCCGGTTTGGACATGCGACAAACTAAGGATCAATGATTAAAAAGACTCGACTGCAAATGCCAGATCAGCCGCACCTGGAGTTAGGAAAGGCCGATCGACGACCGCTATAAAAACCAGAAATAGCCATCGCAGTCTGCGTTGCTTTTCGGGTTGCATCACTCTGCTTTGACGGTAGCCAGAAGGACTCTTGATTGAATCCGAAAGCACAAAGGGTCGGGCGAATTGAATTAAAAGTCCTTCCTACAAAACCCATCCATCATTGATTTGATTGTAAATTGCGGCTACGTGACGTTAACCATAGCATAGGAAGACTAAGAAATGTCGATAATTTATGCGTTTAGTTATTGCACTATAGGTGCCTATAAGAGTATTCTAATTGAAAAGGAAATGTTGACTAGATCTTTTACGTTGTATTATTGAAAGTAACTTACACACGACAATCAGTGCGGTCCACAAGGTAGCTTTGGGCCCTCGAGGGTCATTGGCCCCCAGGGATTGGCCAATTCGTATCGCAGAGGCAAGCCCAAATCCCAATGGGAACTTCAAGAAAATGCAAAATTAGATGAGTATGAAAATATTGCACGTAAAAACAACTATAACATTCAAACCCTCTTCACACTTTGTTGCTACTTAATCCTGCCCGCTTGCTGATAAGGTAAGGTTGCATGTACTCAAAAAGTTTGTAAATTCAACTACCTAAAATCCTAATCTTACCAGGCAGTATAATATGGATTCCAAATTGTTAATAATGGTCTGTGAGGCAAGCGCTCTTTCTCCGAGTAAACCTAAAAATATAACATTTGAATTTTCAAACACCTATTCAATCAGTAAGAACACAATTAACTATTGTGCCAGGGGTAACTGAGTAGCAATGACCAGTTAGTCTTGCAGACTATTACAAATAACAGATCTGTCTCAGAAGGAAATTATTTTGATTAATATTTTTGCATCCTGTTGATCCAGGAAAATCCAAATGCAAGGCTGGATTCAACAGAAGCAATTTGAAAATTTAGTTAGCTGCACTTGAACCATAAGTCAGTTGGCCGTCAGTGTGCGCTCCCCCGAAAGGTGATCGGAACGGACAACCGCATACCCATATTCGTGTATTGAGAAGTGAACTGTTCTCACTTGTGATAGGAAATATAACAGACAACCTTACTAATAAGGATTTATCGGAATCGCTTAGCCTAAACTTTTGTGATATGTCTGACCATGTGTCACGTCTACACAGGTGTTAAGGTCAACAGGGAGACAAATCTAGGCATGAGATATTTTGTTGCAGAAATTGTCGCATGAGAAAACATAGGCTCGGCGTTAACTGTTAAAATTAACCAGAGCTGACACTGCAAAACAGAGACCAAGTCCGTTACGGATG